AGATTGCGCTCCAAGCGTGTAATCAAACCCAATCCCAGTCGGATTCAGAAGAACAAGACACCAGCACCTTTACTATTTAAGACTGGAAATATTTATCTATTTTTTTGTAAACTTATATACAAAATTGCATGTACACAGTATAAATATATTTACGTTCCCTTACTAACATGCAAGACAGATCCCCATAAATATAAATGTTAATTCTCAGTTTAATAATTGTATATGTACAGTGAATTTATATGCACTAACCAGCAAAGTATTTTGTATAAATTATGTATTTTGTTTAATAAACGAACAAAGTTTTCAATAACACGCATCTGTCGCAACTGAGTGCAGCTGACGCTCTCGTTCTCGAGTTCTTTGCAACTAATCGAATACAGCTTTACAGTTTACACCGCCTTAAACGAGCTCATCTGCGTCTCATTTCATTACATCCCGTGGTTTTGGGTTGGGATGACGGATGACTTGACTGCACAGTGGGTGACCCATCGAGTGGAAAAACATTTGGCAAGCAAAGACAGGACAGCAACCAGCAGGAAGCACCCCACCATGCTATCAAAGCTGAATATTGTTTGGAGAAGTTTAAAGAGCGACTGCTGTTTTCATCTAATCTTTTTTATCCTTTCAATAACACAAGTTTTATAGTTTGCAGTAAAACCCAATCCACCGTTTTTTTCCCCAGATTATGCTTTAAACTTAGAATCTAGGCTCAGCGCTTTGCTGTAGATGGGTGATAAACCAAGAGGTCAAAGTTTACTCAAGCCTTTTTACACAGCAACAAAGAAGAGTCAAAATTCTTGATCACAACTCCCACAAGTACCTCATGAACATCAAAGACAAACATGAATTCACTGTTTACCATTCTTTTCCTCTTGTTAGTCATTCTTTTCCAGAGCAATGCCTTAGAAGCGTGATTGAATGATCCCCAAACTAGGTGTGTCTAGCACATGTTTAGGACACAAGTTGAATAATTTCTAAACAGAGAAACGACTGAATAAACAAGCGTATTAAAGGTGCATATCATAAGACAACATAAGCCAAAGTAAGCCCCAAATCCTGCATGATTCCACTTACCTGAACAATGCCTTTGAAAGTTATGGTAAAAACACGGTTGGATAGGTGTTTTCATCTTTTTATTTCCTGAACAGTAACACAGCCTGGCCAGATGGTGTTGGAGTTGAACTCAGGATCTGCTTGCTGTGAGACAACAGTGCTAACACTGCTTATTTTTTTGGACTTATCATATTGTGGCCTGACAGAAGCCAAAATGATTATGTCTTCTGTAATTCCACTGACAATCTCACAGCTACTGCTAATAATGAAAAGCATGTATATCAGCTCCGTGAGTGTGTATGCAAATACAAACGCCTGTGGCTTGAAGATAAAACACTAAACGTCTGGGAATCATTGTAGTGCATTAACATGCCTATGGGACCAGCTTCAATAGCTTCCACACCGCAAAGCTGTACTGGAAATGTCTATAGACCCTTCCATCTAGCAACAAACTGCCTTTTGCACCACACAGCTTTAGAGAAAAAGGGAACGCGAAAGTGCGTGTGGATTATGGACAGCATTTTTTAATTTAAGGGTTATTTTCAGTAGCTTTTAGTTATGATCGGTAATTCTAAGAGAAAGCAGCAGTCAAGAGATCGCAACTAGGAATGCTCTGCGATTATGACGTAATACAGCATGAAAAAGTCTGTCGTTTCTGTTATTGGAAACAGTGCTGCACAAATAAAGGCAGAGATCCATCTCTTTAAGGATTCCCAAGTACTTGGAAATCATATTGTGGAAAACACCCATAGCACATCAGTGAGGAACTGCGAGTTCATATTACTTTTGTGATAGGAAAGAATGAGTTTTACCATAGAAACGCCTTCCATAAAAATAAAATATCTGAATACAATAACCACTGGTTTCACTTCTACTTTTGTTCGAACTAAAGTTGGACTGAATATATGGAAATCTTGTCTCACACAAAAACAAAACAAAAAAAAAGGAAAAGAAAAGACTGATTTCCACTCAAGTATCATACGTTTTGCAACAAAAGCGACAATGGGTCACACAAAGTACGAAAGAACCCGCAATCACACCCACATTCTTTTCCGACAGAGAGATATATTCATGCGAGGAAAGGAAATTCTCATAACCCCAGAAGATTTGTTTCTCCTGATGGAATTTTCACTTCCAGTCAAAAGAAAAACATTCGAAAAGGACAACATAACGGCCGATGAATGATAAAGTCAAACTGTGCGCTAGATAAAAATGATGAGCTGCAGAAATTCTGCTCAATTTATTTTTTAAAAACCGCAGCATTTCAAGCTTTCAGTTGCGAAAAGAAATTCCAATTAATAAAAACAACAAGTCGCTGCTTTCATTTAACTTGGAAGCGAAGCCCTCGGAGTACACAGACTCTGCAAGCGTCATTCGGGTCTAAGGAGGTTACGCGGAAAACAAAACCACTACTCTGAGTTTTTGACATTTAACTATCACGATCAAATCAAGTCAAGCAGGATATTAAACACCAAACTTGTTTATAAAGACAAAGATAGTCCAAATGACCAAGAAGAACAGTGATTCACACATGAGTCACAGATTTGTGTTAACCTCCAGAGCATTAACACACAGACTGAGGGCCTACACACACACGTGCCTGTGAGCATGAATGCAGTGTTAGTAAGATTTACCCAACAGTTGTAAATGTTTGCAAAAGCACGTTTATTTTACGATTTTAAGGCCAATTTCTCTTTCATTATGACTCGTATATAATGACTCATTTAGAAGTAAGCTGATGTCAGCTGATTTAGTGGATCCATGACCTTACAGTGCTGTGAAAAAGCATTTGCACCTTCCGGATTTTATTTATTTTTCATTTTCGTTTGCATATTTGCAAAATATTTTACATCATCAATCTATTTTTAATATTAGGCAAATATAAACCAAGTAAATTTAATTTATTAAGGTTTAAACTTTTTTTTTTTTAATTCAAACCTACCTAACCCTGTGTGGAAAGGTAACTGCCCCCCCTAAACCTAATAACTGGGTTGGACACTCTTGGCAGCAAGAACTGCAATCGAGCTTTTGTTATAACTGGCTGTGAGTCTTTCACGTCACTGTGGAGGAATTTTGGCCCATTCTTCTTTGCAGAGCTGTTTTAATTCAGCCACACTGGAGGTTTTTCGAGCATAAACTGCCTGTTTAAGTTTAGCAAAGCATCTCAATCTGATTTAAGTCAGGACTCCAAAACCTTCATTTTGGTTTTTTAGCCTTTCAGCGGTTCACTTGCTGGTGTGTTTCTGATACTTGAGCTTCAGGGAATGAACTGATGGTTTAACATTCTTGTTCAGGATTTTCTACTAGAGAGCAGAATTCATTCTTCCATTAGTTACGGCAAGTCGTCGAGATCATTACACTACTATCACCATGCTGCTGGTATGATATTCTTTTTATGAAATGCTGTATTAGTTTTATGCCAGATGTACTCAAACCTTCCAAAAAGTTCAACTTTTGTCTCATCAGTCAACAGAATATTTTCCCAAAAGTCTTAAGAATCATCAAGATGGCTTTTTTCTTGTTAAATGTGAGATAAGCCTTTGTGTGTTTTTGGTCACCAGTGGATTTCTCCTTGAACTCTCCCACACATGTCATTTCTGTCCCGACTCTTTGTTACTGTTGAATCATGAATTCTGACCATAACTGAAGGAAATGACATCTGCAGTTTTTTTAGATGACGTTCTGGGTTCATTTGTGACTTCCTGGAAGAGTCATTGATGTGCTCGTGGTAGGCAGGCCACTTCTGGGAAGGTTCCACACAATTCTGTTTTTTCCATTTGTGTATAATGGCCCCCACTGTGGTTCACTGGAGTCCCAAAACCTTATAAATGGCTTTGTAATACTTTCGAGACTGATAGACGTTGATGACTTTGTTTCTCAGCTGTTCTTGAGTTTCTTTAGAGTTGGGGTGATGTGTTGCTCTTTGAGATTTTTTTAACCTATTCGTTTGATGATTTGTTTGGGAAATAGGCAAATATTTTTTCGGGGCACTGCAACTGTTTGCAGCAGCGCATTTATTTTAGGATTTTAAGGCCATTTTGTTGTCTTTGAAAGTTGATTCATGTGTGATGACTCATCATTTAGAAATAAAATGCCAGTTGATCCATGATCCTATACTGGTTCAACCTGTTGGAAAACTGAAGCCAGGTTTCTCAGAAAGGCATGAAGCCAAGGTTTTTCTGACTTTTAAAATTATTTATGTTATATAATCCTTCCCGCAAGAGTCTGTTGCTCTTTTTTGTTGCCCATATGTTCGCACTTTGGTTTGATATGCATCTCTGCGCTGCTTTGCTACAGTAACATTTTGATTGCATAAACTCATCTCTTACTGAGAAAGGCTCTTTAAGACATTTATGATCAACAACACTTTCAGGTTCACCCTTTTAAAAACATTCTTTGGTTTATGGGGACTTGCTCTAAAATATTTTAAAGCAGGGATTGTGATAAAACAACTGCTTGGTGTTTACAGACTTTAGGCTCTCTAAAGTAAATGCAATGAAATCACACGAGCCACAGCACTAATTTCTTCTCTGTAGCTGTTGCACTCAGTCCTGCTGTTTACGGTATGTCAAATCACACCTGCAACATTTCATTAATCTTGCAAACTTGGGACATTTTCCAGCTGACATCAGCATACTACAAAATTCCTGTGGGGTACTCCCTGCAACATTAAGAATCTCCAAGGCCACAATTTGCCATGGCGACAGGAACAAACAAAGTTATGAGCTAACAGCAAAACCAGTTACTTCCGGCATCCTAAACTCAGTACACATGGGCTGGAGCACACCCATCTTCAAACTTGGCCCCCATTCAAGTTTCGTACATAGATGCATCATTGACAAAACACTAAAAACACTCCAAACTGCTTTTGTGGCAGTTCTGCCAAAGCTGATGTCTCCAGGAGACAAATGAACAAACAAATGCCAGCTAAAAAAACAAATACTTACCGCTGCTCCACCATTTTTTCCCATTTATGATGTAGTCGTCTTTATCCCTGTGAAGACTGCACTCCATGTTGGTTGCATCACTGGAGGCCACATCAGGTTCTGAGGGGGGACCACAGGAAGTACTATTTTACAGGAAGGACCACGACAATACTGATAACATATCACAATACTTAATGAAACTCAACTCAGACTCGTGTTTTTACACGTCTGGTAACCCAAATTATCTTAAGCTTCCCTTCACGGCCAAAGGGTTCAAATATACAGCAGATGTTACCAGAAGTTTAAATTATTTATCAGTGCACAACAAAGGGTTCTCCTCATCATCCAGTGTAATCGAGTACTGTGCAAAAGTGCTAATTTCTTCTTTTGCTCCCTAATTTCTTTAGATTTTGTTAGGAAAAGGGAAAATGGTTGCAGTGATGTATTTAAAAATGTGCAAACATACATGGAAATAAAATATATTTTGACAATTTTGACAGGTTTGAAAAATCAATATTTGATCTGACTTTCTTTTTTTCTTCTTCACAGCCTGAACCTTCTTGTCATATCTTTAAGTAGTCTTCAGGAATAGTTCTCCTTCTTGAAGGACATCCAAAGCTCTTCTTTGGATGTTGGCTGCCATTTGTTTTATTCTCTGTCAAGATGATCCCACGCTGCATCAATAATATTGACGTCTGCAGTCTGGAGAGGCCAGTCCAGGATTGATAGCGTCCCACTGTGTGCTTTTCTATCCTGCTATGCTTTTGCTGCAGTGGCAGTGTGTTGGGGTCATTGTTGTGATAAAAAGTGAAGCAGTTGCCAATCAGATGCTCTCCAGATGGTACTTCATGGTGGATCAGGATCTGACAACAAAACTGTTAACCCATGTTTAAATAAAGACATGGGAACAAATTATGTGTTTTTGCGACAGGCTGCTAGCAACAGTGTTTCTTTGCCAAGTTGTCTCTATGAGTAGACACAACACTGGTTCAACCCTTGAACTGGGTGCCTTTTAGCACTGAAATGACTCATAGGTCAGTGTTAAGTGGCTTAACAAACAAACAGGGAGGAAAAAAAAAAGATTCCTCTGAAAATGGTGAGGTATAAGAACTGCAATGAAAATGAAGACAACTTTAAAAGACCTCCAGAAGACCTTGAGAACTCATCAAAGCCACTTTAAACAAATGACAAGAATGTCTGGCTCCTTCAGCACTTCAGACTGAGTACTTTTACTCAATACTGGAAAATGACTGCACTGCTGTGCAAAACAAAATGTATCCAAAACACTATTAATCTCTATGTGTTGATAATTTAAAAAAAAAACTAAAACCAAGGATGTTCAAAACCAGCGTAATCACCTCTGGCAGCAGCATGTCGCTGTTTCCAGGCAGCATTATAAGCAAAAGAGAACAAAACAGGGAGAAATTACTCATCGGGATCTCGTGTTTGCTATTGGCGTGTGAAGGGCCTTTCACGCAGTCAGTAGCAGCCATGCCTTCTATAACTTAGCCTAATCAAGACCACAATCTGCACTTAGCAGAAAACAATGTGACTGAAGACCACAACACATATTTTGAGAAGTGAACATTAGAAATACTTTGGAAAAGGGAAGAAATTTTATGAATTCATAACAGAAAGTGTTCCAAACTACACCAAGAAAGCTATGCTTATAGATATGACAGATTCCTCAAACTTTGTTTTCAATCACCAACACAGATTTTGGTATGTTTTTCTCTAAGCATTTTTTTGTGACCTGTTCTTGGAACTACCTGTCATACAGAAGCAGGAGCGAATCTCTCCTCTGAGTAAAGGTTCCAGCCATTTCTTCTTCTGCTCCTCACTGCCAAACATGTGGAGCACTTCCATATTTCCTGTGTCTGTGGAAAAAAAAAAAATCATAATCTTCCAGTAATTACTAGCTGAATTTGGGAACCTTTATGCTCTCGTGGAAGACTGATTTGATTGAAAAAGCTGAATCTGGAGATTTTTGTGTGGTTTGGAAGATATATTTTTAAAACCCCAAAATGGAGTGTTATGACTAAAACGAGGTTGAAATGTTGACATCTGGAGAGTCTTTTTCCTGACTAGAGAGAATCCTACTCAAAAAAAAAAAAAGGAGAGAAAATGCAGTCTAGCTTCTATATACAAAGAGCAAGTCCATCCTAGTAGAGCAAAGTAAGGGACAAAATTGATCTGTAATATTATCAAAGGTCTTTGATGTAGATATTTTACCAGGAGCCTGGCAGTTAAAGACTTCAGGGGCAAACACACAGTGGCCGGTTTCTTCAGCAATATAGGCATAATCCAGCTGGGTGAGCCCACTGACTGCAGGCAGGAACAGGTTCCACAGCCCGGCTTCCCTGGCTTTAATCTGCACACAGACACATGTTATTATACAGAGTGAAAATGCAAGCCACGGCTTCTTTCCCTGTCTATGCTGATAACAAGCAGAGCTCCAGAAATTGGAACAGATCCACGCAGACACAAATAATAGTAATTTTGTTCAAACGCCAAATACTAATGATGGGTTGCAGTGCGTGGGCGTCTCAGGTGTGCTATTTGCAGAAGAGTCAAATAAACTTGGGTGTTGAACTTTCTGGACTAGTACTTAATCTTAGACAGTCCTCTATCACATGTGGTTATATTTTTTTGTTTTGGAGGGTTTTTCCCCTTATGTGCTGTCATTTTAACTATGTAGGATTTGTGTAAAAAAAGAGACTGAGTTACTAAGTTTAAAAAACAAACAAAAGAAATCAACCCTACATACCTTCAGATCCTCTATAATTTGAGGGGTGTGCCATCTCTGTGGAGACTCAGCGTGTTTGGTGTAATACTGTGCAACCTCCTAAGGAACAACAATATTTTTCCACAAAGTGAATTGTCAAGTGAGTTCATGTTGATGCTACAAGCATTCCAGGCACTCAATGGTAACATCAGCTCAACAATATATTCCTGCAGAGATAGCTTCATGGAAGAGCTTGTGGTTCTTCATCTGTTTCACTTTACGTGAGAATGCTACAAAGCCCTGCCATGTGATGATGCCCATATGCAGCATATTTTATGTAACCAGGAGACACATTGTTCTTTGACTCTACTTTATTAGCCTTCAGTGAAGAAACGAACTGCTGTGTACACAAGTTAAAATTTCATCAATGCACACAAAACCCCTCTGTTCTTGGCAGCTCTTGGAACTGACCTTCTGAGCAGGAAGCACATATTGTCTCATGAAATCTTTGACCTGCTGGAGAACAGCCCGACCTTTAGCTGTCTGGAAAAACAATCTGTCCTTTGTTGGACCTGTGAGGGGCCTGGCATGAAACACATTTCAAATGTTAAAATTCTAACAGAGAATATCAGAAGCAACAGCTGGGTGTCAAATTCCAACTGCAGCTGTCTTACATATAATCAACAGGTGGGATCTATCAGTTTTTTTGACCTTCAGTGACGAAGGATTTAAAAAAGATTTCCTGCTATAGCAGAGTGTTTATGCTAAAGTTATGTCTGAATGTGTCAAAGGATATCAGTGCATTGCTGCACAAGGAATTCATTCATTACTGAAACCTACCTCTGCCCAAGCTGCAAGGCAACCTTAGCCAAGGGCTCCACACACTGGCCAAACTGAGCTGCATTCGGTGCACTGGCATTACCCAGGAGGTGACGAGCGTAGATCCCCTACGAAAAACAAATAATAATTTTAAAAAAATCTTAATTTTAATGAAAGATTAAGTGACTACATCATGTGCTTGTCTATAACTTTTAATTAAATATGAGGAAATGAGGTATGGCGCTGTGAGTTGCACAATACTGTATGCCAGTAAAAAAAAAAAAAAAAAGAAAATCAGCCTAGTGTTGAAATTTGGTACAAACCTGGGCAATTCCTGCCATTTTAAAGACAGACAGGGCCAAGTAGAAATTCAGTTGTGGCAATGCAGGGGGGATCCCCCGGCACCTGCAGTAAATGGAGATCAGGTCTTCCACAGTTGGGATACCTGCTCATTGAGGAATAAGACCAGAGGGACAAGACTGTGAGCAGACATAAACAAATAAATAACAGATATAAAATCATAATCAAATACAAATTTCTGAAAACAACAAATCTGTTTTTCCACTGTCTATAAATGTTAATCACTGTCAGAGTTATCAACAGTTGTTGGCGTTACCCTCTATTCCTTTTAAACTGCCCATCGTGCTGATAACGCTGAGACTTGCAGGCCAGTATTGTGGCATAAGGAAGTAGGCCAGATCTGCCAGGGGCTGTCCAGTGGTAGAAAGCTCCCAGTCCAACACAGCGATCACACGCGCCTTATCACACAAAACAGACTTTGTGAAGTATTCACAGACAAATGTAGCAAAGGTCTAAAAATAAAGATCAGACAAAGTGTACCTCTGTTGGATGGAATATTAAGTTATCCAGTCGATAATCTCCGTGGACAAGGGTCACCTCACTGTCACTGGCTGGTAGATTCTTCATCAACCAATCAGACAGTTCATTCATGGCTGGAATGTCTCTGTGGGCCGCTGCAGTGTACTGCTTGGTCCAGGTGGAAACCTTTACAGATAAAAAGACATTCTTTAATTTCACAAATCGTGACTAAGTTCCAGATCAAATAAACAGTAAAATGACTTCGATTTAATCAATGTTGTGTTAACTCACTTGTCTCCTGCAATAACCTGGCCCTCTTCCATATGCTTCAAGGTTCACTGATGGCAGATCCAGTGAGTGCAGCTTTGCCAGGACTTCCACCGCAGCCACATACAGAGCTGTTCTCTCTGCTGGACTCACTCCAGGTAGACGAAGATCCCTGAATATGCGCCCCTAATAAACAGAATTGCACGATTGCCGTCAAACAAAAATAATATTTTCATCTTAGAAAAAACCATTAGAAAAAAATATTAGATTCAGGGACTTGTGACTCCTAAGTGCAAAAAAAAAGTACCTTCACATGTTGCATTAAGTAGAACTCTGTTCCAATGACTTCAATATCAGCGCAGTGCAGAAGGGGCTGTGGAACGGGGAAACCAACAGAGAAGAGGGCCTTCTGCACTCGATACTCCCTGTCCACCTGTGAACGAAGCAGAAAAATCCACTTCTATGAGAAACTTCACCCACTGAGTGAAGCTAATATGATCACGTGCTACTTTCCCAAACATTTGGGGAAAAGTGAGCTCTTTCATTTGATTAAATCCAATTAGTTACAAGGTCACACAAAACAGTGTTTGTGCACAGATGGTAAATGTAAAGCACCATTTAGTATTAAACATAAGTAACACGTATGAAGCTTTCATTAGATATAAATATATTCATTCGGGTTATTAAAAAAAATAGCTTAATTTTTATAACTAAACATAGCCAACTTGGTTATATCCTAAACACGTAATAAAAAAACAACATTTCCATAATTGTTTCCAGGAAATCTGCTACATGGTCGTCTAATGACCGCTCAGATTTGTGGCCAGGAACATTTTTGTAAAACTTTTGAGCTTATTTTTTTATCATTGAGCGCTCCCTGACTCACATATTCCCATTTCTGGTCAAATACGTAAATCCTGCAGTCAAACCATATAAAAAAAACAATTCTCACTAAAAAAAAATCAAGGCTGAAAAATAAACTTGTGACTTGTTACCTGATGCACAAAACCACTGTGTTTTGTCTGTATTTGTCAACTATTTCAGTGGTCAAAACAAGGTTATTATACAACCATAAAACCAAACTATAAACGATGACGACTTTATTAGGTACACATTGCTAGTACTGATTAGACGACCTTATGCCTTCACAACTGCCTTAATTCTTTGTGGCACAGAGTCATTAAGGTGCTGGAAACATTTTTCAGAGATTTTTTTATAAATACTGAAAGGATATCACACAGTTGCTGCAGATTTGTCAGCTGCACATCTATGATTGAATTTCTGGTTCCACCACATCCCAATCGTGCTTTATTGTATTGAATGTGACTGTGTGGGCCGGTTTGATTTTCTGCTACTGTAAACCATCTAATTCAAGGTTCGTGTTGTGCATTCAGAGATGCTCTTCTGCATATCTTGGTTGGAACAAGTGGTTATTTGAGTTGCTTATGCCTTCCTATCAGCTCAGAGCAGTCAGTCTATTCTACTCTGACCTCTGATATCAACAAGGCACTTCAGAGCAAATAAATGCTGCTCACTGAATATCTTCTCTTTTTCTGACCATTCTCTCTGTAAACCTTAGGTATGGATATGCAGGAAAATCCCAGTAGATCAGCAGTTTCTAAAATACTCAGACCAACCTGTCTGGCAAAAACAACCATACCACTTTAAAAGTCACTTAAATCACCTCTTTCCCATTGTCTCGCTGGGAATGATCTTCAGCAGGTCATCTTAACCTACACGCAATCCTAATGTAAAAATATCCCCCAGTTTATTTATTGACTTATTTGCTGTTTACCACTTGAGGTTGTGGTTGCTGCCAAAAATAATGAGAATTAATTAAAGCACGTATTGAAAACATATGGCTGGGCAGGCTCCAGAAACCCCTGAACTGGATAAGTGCTGAGTGAGTGATTCACCAGTTAACCCAAACTAAACTAAAACACAGACAGCACGAGGAAGCATTAGTTATAGGAGAACACATAAAAACAAACTAAACCTATCCATTTAAAATAGTAAAAATTTAAGTGAGGAAACTAACTCAGGACATTAACAATATTTTATTTATTTTTTAACCAAAACTACAATAACTGTGGGGGGAGCCTTACCTTGTGAGCTCCTGGCAACAGCTCACCTGGGGGTTGCTTCCTGAGAACATAACTGTTTGACGGCGTCTGGATTAGGAAAGTTGGGTTTGACTGACCAGCACTGAAAAGATAAGCGAGTGTCACTAGCATGTTATCAGCAGGCGAAACATTTGCACAAGATTAACTTTGACACTACAAAATGAAGACAGACTTGGCTACCTTACCTGTACTGTCTTACAGTCAGGGTGTCATTGTTTGACAAAAGTGTCTTGGCAGTCAGATATCTCTGAAGCCTGCCAACATTGAATTTATGCTGCTGTCGTACAGGAGTGGTCGGTTCCTCCATTTCGCAGTTATAACTCTGGATTAATCATTGTCAGATGTATCGTTGCGCTAGCTACGTTTAGCATTATTGATATGATGGTCGGACCGTTTATCGATAGGCACAACGAGGTAACGCCCCTTAAAAGTTATTTTATTGCCACAAATTTATAAAATTATAAAACCTAATGACTAGAAGATTTTCGATACTAAAATAAAATAATAAAATAAGGGTTTAAACAATCCACTGGTGAAGTAGGAACACTGTAGGGTGTTTAGGTCGTTTTCTGCACGAACACTGTTAACGGGAACACACATCCTGACAGCTGGTTTGAGCAGCGAAGACGTGTACTTTCTGTGTCGATCCCTGTAGGGTTTTTTAATTTACGTTTTTGTGTACAGCATTATTATTTCTTTTACATAGTTTAGCCTTCGACTGTTTTCCTGATGGCGACAGTGGAGGAGCTGAAGTTGAGGGTGAGAGAGTTGGAGAATGAGCTGATAAAGTGTAAGCAGAAGCAGTGTGCCGCGGAAGATGCTCACAGTCGGGCACTGAATAGACCGAAAATTGACAAAATGAGCGCTGAAGTTGTGGATTCCAACCCGTACAGGTAAGTTTGTTTTTTTAAATGTATTCATTATATGGTCGTTTAATTGATTTTTGTGTAGACGGCTCACTATGTTGAGAGCCGACGCCTTCCTGTGAGTCATACACCACAAGCTAATCTCAGCTGTGTTTTTATTTTAGTCGCCTCATGGCTTTAAAGAGAATGGGCATCGTAGATGATTACGAGGTATGTTCAAAGTTGTTCTTTTTTTAATACTGCACGGTTTCTGGTTGCTCTCCCTTCCAAGAGTTCATATTTCATATTAAACAATAAAGAAAAACTGCTGTTACAACATTAAATTACCTTTATCTAGCGATATATGTTTATAGAAACCCAAACCCGATATTCATAATAGCATGATTACATACAGATGTTTACCTACACTCATTATGGCCATGAATGTCGTAGTGATTTGGGGCTTTTATTGATTTCTTTGACCTGTTCTTTTTCTGGGGTGGAATGATCGTAAGATACATGTTTAATCATTTACAAAACAAAACTTGGGTTCATAAGATTGAATTTATGTTGGATTTTGTCTAATCCACACAAGTTCAAAACATACATTAAGTAAATAAATAAGTACTACTAGTACTAATAAATGTCTTTCTGCCAGTTGAACCTCAACTAGGTTTTGCCATAACTCTCACTGGATATTTGGCCACTCTTAACAGCCGTTAGGCATAGTCCACTAATTTTAAATAGAGAGACAGAAAAGAGTTTATTTTAAACTGTGTATATATAACTAAAACGTTTTGAGCAGGGTTGAGGTCGGAGCTTTAGGAATGGCCGTTCCAGCAGCCTAATGTTAGTTCTTTTATCCATTCCAAAACCAGTTTTGATGTGTGTTTGGGATCATTGTCCTGCTGGAACACCCAATTTTGTCAAGGTTCAGCCATCTAGCTGTTGATTTGGGGTGAAGCTGAAAAGCCCAAACGTAATGACATTCATCCCCAAGATGAGTGTATGTAAATTTCTGTTCACAACTGTAGCCATCAAAGCAAAGTTGGAGGCTTTTGTGTTGAGAAATGTGAGTAATTATTGTTTATAAACTTGTTGACAGAGAATTCGGACATTCACAGTAGCTGTGGTTGGAGTTGGGGGAGTTGGCAGCGTAACAGCTGAAATGCTCACTAGATGTGGCATTGGTAAGGTAATAGAAGCTTTCATTATCTTTCACTTTTACTTGATTTAAATTTAAATCCATGTCCATCTGTGCTGATTTTACTCTTACCGTGGCTTGTTCTCATTTTGTGGCATCCCAGTTGCTCCTTTTTGACTATGATAAAGTAGAGCTGGCCAATATGAACAGGCTGTTCTTCCAGCCTCACCAAGCAGGCCTCAGCAAAGTGGAAGCAGCAGAACACACACTCAGGTACACTGTTGTTAACAGACATCCACTTTTCCACCAAAGCCATTCAGTTTCTTTCAAATATATGTAACTTCCATTTTCCCCAAACAGAAACATCAATCCAGACGTGTCATTTGAAACCCATAACTACAACATTACTACGATGGAAAATTTTACACATTTCATGGATCGTATCAGGTTAGGATTCATATTGTATATTTTTTGTAGTTTTCTTCCTCTGTCCCTTTTTTGCACCAGCAAATAACTGTGTGTTTTCAGTCATGGAGGGCTGGAAGAAGGAAAACCAGTGGATTTGGTCCTGAGCTGTGTGGACAACTTTGAGGCCAGAATGGCCATCAATACAGTGAGTGTGTATACATGTCAATGTCACAAAAAAAGAGATTTAATAAAAAAAAAAACCATGTAACTCTTACAAGTTGAATTCATTTTGGTGTTTGTTTCAGGCCTGCAATGAACTAGGTCAGATCTGGATGGAGTCTGGTGTCAGTGAGAATGCTGTGTCAGGACACATCCAGCTCATCATTCCTGGGGAGACGGCCTGCTTCGCTGTATGCTCACACTTAAATAACAACAACATATCTTTGCAATATGATGACGTCCAGCTCTTACAGAAAAATGTAGTTGCATTCTAAAACCATATAACACCCTCTCTCTTAGTGCGCTCCTCCACTTGTGGTGGCAGCCAACATTGATGAGAAGACCCTAAAACGGGAGGGTGTGTGTGCTGCCAGCTTACCAACAACCATGGGTGTTGTGGCAGGTCTCCTTGTGCAAAATGTCCTCAAGTAGGTTTATTTTCATGTTTTTCTGGGCAGGTTCAAATCTAAAAGTGTAAAGTGAAGTTCAATATTATTTATTAAATGTTTTGTCTTCCAGATATCTTCTAAAGTTTGGTACTGTTAGTTATTATCTTGGCTACAATGCCATGCAGGACTTCTTCCCTTCCATGGCAATGAAAGCTAACCCCCAGTGTAATGACCGTCACTGCAGGAGACAACAGGAGGAGTACAAGGTGTGTGTGCTCACTGTTTGCTCATGTAACATGATTCCAAGACTGATTAAAGTCCCATTCTTACTGCTTTTATATAGTGTTAGAAAAGCTAACCTTACTCATTGGTTTTCTGTTCAGAGGACAGAAGCAGAGCGGCCCAAAGTGGAGGTCGTACAGGAAGAGGAGGTTGTTGTACATGAAGACAATGAATGGGGTGAGCAAAAGAAACTTGTACAGTGTCCTAAATGTAACATAGTTTTTGTGTTGTTGTTTTTTTTTTGTGTTAATGTGTGTTAATATACAAAAATGTGGTGCGCAGGTATTGAGCTGGTATCAGAGGTGACTGAAGAAGAGTTAAAGGCTGCTTCAGGTACTGTGCCCGACCTCCCAGAAGGCATCACAGTGGCTTATACCATTCCAACTGAGGTTAGTACGCTTTAAGATACCACAGCTTTGAAACTTTGAAACTAGGAGCCCTGTATGGGTAGACTCATTCATTTAAAAAAAATATACTGACATTTATATCAAATACTTTTTTGCCTTAAGTAATAATGGTGAAGTCAAATATTTACAGCACTAAGTGACTTTTAGTGACTCTTCAGTTTTACTTTCATTCCATACTGCTTTTAAATGAAATTACTGTGGAGAGTACTGTTGGGCTTGAAGATCATTTCTTAAAAAAAGCGGCATTTTGTTGTAATGTTTTAGTGTTTGGTCTTGACTATGAACCCAATTCAACTCATTATTTTCTCGTCTTTGAACTAGGAAAAAGCAGATGGCGAGACAGTGGAGGAGACTGAACAGAGCCTTGAAGAATTAATGGCTCAGATGAAAAAACTGTAGGAAACAATCTGAAGGTGCATTTCTGCTGTTAATATGAGACTAACCTTTTCCTGCCTGTTCATTCCAACATCATTGTGAAAATGCTAATTGCTGTACGATACAACCAGTTAAAGAATGAGTTCATCTAACCGCTGAAGACGTGGAATGCAATGCTGCTTGTGGTATTTCACATGCGGGAAAAAAAAAAAACCACACACAAAAACATCAGATATGTAATTTGCTGACATGGTTTAGCACTTGAAATGGGAACATTTTCTAATTACATATCAATAAACCTGAAGATATCAATTAGTGTTTTGCTTACCGAATGTGTGTCCCAACTTTTCAACATCCACAAAAAAAGAAATGTTTCCTGTAACATCACAGAACAATGTTCAAGTTGTCTCAATAAAGTATTTATTAGATGGACATGTTGGACTTTATTTTTATTTTCCTATACAGCTTTTACAGATGTTATTAACATGGTATTAATGCATGAATAGATGCAAGCAGTAAAACATTTTGTGTCTTGCAATAGGTTTTGGTACAATGTGTCCCTTTTGGCCTTAATGTATTGTACCTGAAGCCTTAAATGTCACAGTGATGTCTTTGGTAAGACCCTATAATTATTTTGAATAAATGCATGCGCACTTAATTTTGCATAAACACAGCCTTAAATCAGCTACAGATAATGATTCTTCAGACATGTGTTTTACTTAATGGTCCAAGTTTTCCTTCCTCAAAACACTGTTGGATATGCATTGCATGTAACAAACATTAAAATATATATATATAAAATTCATAATGTAAACAATGTATATTTAAAAACAAAAAGTGCTTGGGATCTGACAGTCGTGTTAATCGTCATCAGGAGATAGTTCACATTCTAATGTTTCTTCTTCTGCACGTTCTCACTAACGCCCTTTTGTACTGGGTGTTTAGCATGATTCACACGGAACAATTTGAATGCCTAGATTGAAAAACTAACATTTAAAATGTGAATATAATAATATAACCTGTTGTACCATACGATGTTGGTCATAATTAAGCATGTTTTTATGGCTGGAGTGACTTCATACCCACAAATAAATCTAGGCTAAGCTGAAATTTGAGTTTAGTGTAGTGTAGACCTGAGTTTAAAGCCTGTTAAAGAACTGATTTCTGAAGTGTATTACACATGACTGCATGCAAAACACCACTGGCAGATATGCAGGTTTTAAACATGAATACTGTAAAGTTCACATTCCTTTTGGCAGGTACAGTATGTACCTTCAACCACATGTGATGACTGAATTTTAAATTAGTTTTAGTGAAATCAAAGGATTTCAGTAACACTGTATAATAGTTAGAGCTGTCCAAACAGCCATTACTAATCAGCTGCAAAGTACACCTAAGCAGGGTCACCTCTGAGCATGTGGGAGGGGAGCAGGTCCTCTCACACTAAATGCGTCTCCGCTGGAGGAATGGCGAGATGGGGCATTACCACACACTAATGATGGCTCTGCCTCTTTGATCTCCATTGCACGCTTGTAAAGCTCTGCTGCCTTCTCGAAGTCACCCTCTTCATAGCTAGATTGAAATGTAAATTAAGAAATAAAATTTATAACGTAACCAATAACATATTATTCATAATTAAACTTTTGCTAAATCTCACTCACTAATGTACCTTAGCACAGCCAGGTTTTTGAGGGTCTCCCCAACCCGTGGATGAGAGCGACCCAAACTGTCCTCGTAGATTTTCAGTGCTCGTTCATAAAGGGGCAAGGCATCGCTGTGCTTCTTCTGCCAAAGACAAAAGAAATCACAGTTAGTTTTGCTCTGCATAACCTAAAATGTTAACAGTCAGTGAGATGACAAATAAAAATTTATACAAATCATTTAAATTCACTGGTTCAATACAAGTTAAATATGCTTATTATAAGTAATTTACTTGCTAGCAGAGGTAACTGCCCTTGCCTGCCTTTATTTACGATTACTGTTTTACATACTCATTCTATGTGCATGTCGAGGGGGGGAAGAAAATTGTACTTTACATTTATTAATGTGAGAGTAAAAATGTAAATATAACATTCGATAGGATCACAACATAGATAATAAACAAAGTTCAAAAAATTTAACCAACTGTGTCTAAGATGCGGTACTCAAGAGTAGTACTCACATGCATTAGTAACTGTAAAAATCCCATATAAGTCATCATCTTTATTTATAAAGCACTTTAAAGCAACCACAGCTGATGCAAAGCGCTTTACAGTGTTACTAAATAATATAAATACATATGATATAAATAAAAAACATAAAAAAGAAAAAGGCCAGGACAGGGGTTATATGCTCTCTTTTACGATTTCCTGTTATCAGTCGTGCAGCTGCAGATGTGAGAGCAATGACTGACTGACTCCCACATAAAGTGACATGCAGTAGTTCAGACGGGATGAAATAAAAGCATCGATCACTGTTTCAATGTGCTGTGTAGAAAGAACTGACTGACTGTTGCCAATCGCCTTGATGTATAATGTATAAGAAGTACTTTAATTTTGTGAATAAATGTTCATAATAATCTATTTTGATTTACATTTTCCTTAATGTAATGTTTTGAAGTCGGATATAGCTATTTTTTAAGTAAGATGATCCCTTTTTTTATTGAGGTATGCAATTCTGCAGTGCGCAGTTGAGACAACAGAAGCAGGGTAAGTCTCACCAGTTGGCAGTAGATTACTGCCAGGTTGACCAGTGCGGTGGCTACACTGGGGTGCTTGGGGCCAAAACTTTTTTCCCTGATTTCCAGCGAGAGCTCATAAAGTGGAACAGCCTTCTCTAGTTTCCCCTGAACAAAACACATGAAGTGAAATCATTTGCCTAATTCAAGATAACATCAACAGAAAGTATCATGTGAGTGCCATTTGTCTTACTCTGCGTTTATAGAGCATGGCGAGGTGTTTGAGTGTGTATGCCAGAGAAGGGTGGTCAGGAGACAAGGCTTTCTTGCGGATGTCTAGAGCCCTTTCATACATGTCCTCAGCTGCTTCATATTCTCTCCTTTCAGTGTGCAGTGCAGCCAGGTTGTTGAGTGACTGAGCACAATCCGGGTGATCAGGACCGAGGACCCGCTGGCGCATCTCCAAAGAGCGGGTTAAAAACACCTTGGCTGCACTGGTGAGGGCAAAGAGAAGGATTTTAGTTGAGCTGATGGAATTAAAAAAAAAACACACACACATATTACTGATCATTTGAAGTACAAGTACTAGACTGGAACTATACACCGAGGGCATTGAGAATCTATAATATTATAAAGCAAAAACTGTGGACATGCTAGGTGCTGTTTCCTTACTCTAGGTTGTTCTGGAGGTAATAAAGAACACCCAGTTCATTTAAAGTTTTGGCACAGTCTGCAGAGTCTTTTCCTAGGGTCAGCTCTTCCAGCTGCAGGGCTCTGCGCCTCAACAAACTGAAGCCATACTGAAAGGAGGAGTAGATAAAAGACATCCAATATCTCTTATTAAAGGAGTATGACTAAGTGTGTAGGAATCTGAGAACGACACTCACCATATGACCTTTCTGTCGAGCAGTTTTCTGACGGATCTTCACAGACCTCTTCCTGAGTTTCTCTGCTTGTTCATACCTGAACAAAAGCACCAGATGTTAGCTCTTAAATGTGTTTCTTTAATTGAATCCTGACTTGTCAGAGTGTGATTTAGTCCTCTGAATTTTTTTAATAATCACAACAGCTGGTGTTTGTCTTTAATGAAGATATAGCCTGACTGAAACACCTGCAACTATTAACGGCAATTTCATAACATTAGCCCCAAGATAGTCCTGTTTACTTGTTTTGCTTCTGATAGAGCATGGCGAGTGACTCCAGTTCTCGAGCCACACTGGCATGCTCGGCACCGTAGGCATTCTCGCTTATCTCAAGGGCTTGCTTGTACAGCTGCTCAGCATTTCCATACTTCTTCCATTGGACATAAACTCCAGCCAGCTGGTGCAGAGAGCGAGCTACACTGGGATGGTCTGGATCCAAGGCTGTCTCTCTAATCTCAAGAGACCTTTGTAAAGGTGCTACAGCCTAAACAAATAAAAAATAAACAGAATCAGACATATACACAATTACCATGAGCTCATTCTTAGCAGGAAAAAAAAAGACTAGACTTCTTCAGACAATGTAGGCAAAATTTAAGCCTTTTAAGACTAGGCAGGAAAAGATGTGTGGTGAGGAATAAACATAGTGTTTTTAATATTACAACCATTCACCCTACCTGACTAGGGAGGCCCAGATCTTTGAGGAAACGTCCCAAAGTCTCATACAGATTTGCGAGCCTGGTCATGCTGTCTTCACTCTCGCAGCTCTTCTCGTAGCGCTTCAGAGAGTCAAAATACTCAGTGGCCATAGAGCTTTTGTCTTTGCCGACATACTGCCAGTAGGCCAAGAGCTCAGAGAAATGACCCCTAAAAAACAAAACACACATCTTTGGCAAAGTAGCTGAAGAAATGCATCAGGCTTTGTGACAACGCCTCGTATGTATGCATGCTTTCAGGCAACACTAACATGTACCTCTTGTAGAGATTTTGAGAGACAAACAAGTTCAAGAGGCTGAGCTGCAGTTTAGGTTTGTCCTCCTCCTGCTGGAGCAGCCAGGGAAGTTCATCTGCGACACGCCACGTCACTCGATCCTGGCTAAAAACACACACACATATACATTGATATGAGTTGTTCTGACAGAGCCGTGTGATTTGTGTGGATCTCTGCAGGACCTCAGTTGCTGGTTGAAGTAATGAATTAGTTTCTCTCTATAAGTGGTGGAGCTACTTCCTCCAGTCAGAAACTCTAGCCTCACAGCTTCCCAAGCCTGTCAGAAAAACAGAAAGATGAAAAATGCAAAATTGCAGCCTAATTCTATTATGCATTTTGTTTTTATTGATGCTGTTGTATCATTTTACCGACTAAGAAGCCTAATTACCTGTAGATGTTGAAACCTGATGAGTCCACAACGGAGTGTTACAATGCAGAGTCTGTTCAAGAGGTACAGCAGAGAGGACAGGACAGGCAACTCTACCTCTGGGAAAAGATCTAGTACCTCTGATTCACTCACTCCATTATGGCTGGCACATACAAGGCCCAGTATCTAAAGGCAGACAAAGAACAATCACCTATTCCTCTGCTACACATTGGAAAAAAACATCAAATAAAGAAAAATTTTCACATTCACATCAAAACCAGAAAGGGTATGTGTTTCTCTGATGCCAAATTAAATTACACACATATTTCAAACTAAAAGCAATAAGGACGGGAAAATCTGTGTTTAAGTCACCTCTCTCATAATGTGGCGCTCTCTGTCCGTGCAGAGAGAGTTCAATGTCATTTTGAGTGCCAGGCGGTAAAGTGACATAGTGTCCTGACACTGCAGACACTGCTCCAGGCTCTTCTCCAGCAACCC